AGGCTCTGTAATGAGGCCTGCCAAGGGCACTGGGTAATCCTCTCTGTGCTGAGGTCTCGTGCCAGGGTGATTCCAGGGGGGTCATTTCTCTCTAAACTGTCATTGAGCCTGTAGGGAAGGTGTAGCCTGGAGCTAGTTTTCTCTTAGAACTTCCAGGAGCTGTCCTAAAGATTTGAGAAACTTCTCCTAGGTTCTCCCCTTACAAGGTCTCACAAGGTCTCCTTTTGCAATCAAATTCCATTTCACCACATTCAGTTCTCTAGAAATTGGAGTCTGTGGAGACTACAATTGAGAGCCCTGGGACCCAGAGGTGGATGGGTGCCACAGAAGTGGCCAAGGAAGGTGTGATCCTGGTTCTCATGGTAACAGAAGTTGAGGTAAGCCCTGGCCTGGGCATAGGGCCTCCGGGATCCTGAGACAGGTAGTGCTTAGGATGCTAACTCCAAGCCCTCTTAACAGATGAGTCAGGTTTTAAAATCATGCAATGGATAAAGAGGAGAAAGATGAATGGAATCACATCACTAATGATGCCATTTTTGCCCAGGAAGGAACAAGAGGGATGCCATTTTGTCCATTGGTAGAGGTGTATTTGAGAGGGTTCTTTGGCTACAGAAAGGAACTATTTAACCTCCCTTTCCTATTTGGTAAGGACATCTCTGGCCTGCACAATGTTGAGGCCTCCTCTTTGAAAAATCAGTAAAGAAAACCCCCACACACCCCACGAAGAAAAACGACACAAAAGGTGAAAGCAGCCTGTTAGTCCACAGACTTGAATGGGTCACGGCACAGTGGCTCTGCCTCTTGGTGGAATTCTCTGTGCTGGTTAAGTTGTCTTCTTTCTGTTTTCTGTCCTTGCGGCGACTTGGCAGGCTGGCAGCCGCAGCCCTTCCTCATCTACCTTGCCCTGGGAGGAGGGTGGGGAAGGGGGGGGGGAACCCAGGTCGTTCTTGCTGCCACAAACCACCAGTAAGACTTCCGTAAACCTCCTCATCTCCTTGCTCTGGTTTCCAAGAACTTCCTTCCACTGCCTCCAATACACTCACTCCAGCGAAACCCTCGCCCCGCGCTCACTCGCTCATTCCAAAAGGAGTGCTTGCAACTCCTAAGACCTAGTCGAGGGGACCAGCCTGTCAGCTGTGGTAGTCTCCCCTTCCCGACATCATCAACACTGTGGTGCTGGTGCAGGTCAAGTCCTGGGGGATTGGGGAGGGGGGACGGACGACAGTGACCTGCTGGCTTCTACAGCCCCCAAATTCAGCTGCCAGGAAGGTGAGAAACGCAGAGACCATGCAGATCCTGTACCACAAGGGTGGCTGCATGCACTGTACTGCCTCTTCCTCTGAATAACATGGCCCACCCCCTCTACTTCACAGCATTCATCGGCATCACCGCCAGACTTACCCACCCATTGGCCTGTTCATCAGCTTCCCATGGAAACATCCAGAACATCTCTGAGAGGCACTTAGCCCAGAAACATGGCTGCTAAGGCCCAGACAGAGCCCAGAGAGGGACAGCAGAGCAACCTGAGGTTCCTAAGGCTCTGCTGAGACCTTGCTCCTTGACCTGTCCTTCCCAACCTTTCCTGTGCTCTGAACCCCATTTCTTCACTATGAAAGGACTAGCAGGTGCTGGGATTTATGATCTAATCGAAGACTTAAGTCTGCAGCCTCAAGGTCTAGTCTGAGGCACAGTAGAACTTGTCTATCCTTCCTGCCAGTGAACTTGGTCCTGAGGACCCAGTGGATACGTGGGCAAGAATGCTAATGGCACGTAGGGGCCACTCTTCTGATGTGACAGCCCCGTGGGTGGGGTAGAGGAGGGCGGGGGTGGAGGCACTAGGGATGAACGTTTGCTGTCTGCTTCCCCACAACTCAGCTTTTCTTCAGCAAGTTGGCACCTCTCTTCACCAGGGGCCTGGTTGTTTTGGGGGTATGGTGGGCAGGAAGTTTGCAGGCGCCCATAGCCCATAGCTCAGGGCACTGAGGGGTACAATCAGAGCCCAGGAGCTAGGCTATAAGGACTTGTAGGGCCAGTGGGGGAGGCGGCTGGCACTGGAAGCAGCAGCTGGATTTTAAGTAGGCTTCCCTGGCTGATCATCTGGTCCTCTTTTTGGCTAATATTGTGTGCTGGTAAGATGTTTGGAGGGGGAGCAAGCAGACCAAGGCAGCGAGGAGTAAGCAGACTAAGGGGAGGGAGGGACGGGAACGGTACCAGCTGCCTGCCATCTTCCTATGTGTCCCCAGTGCCATCCAGGAGGGGACATTTGTAAGGATGTAAGCCACATTTGGGGTGTGCCCTGAGAAGGGTGGGGTCAGCTTCAGAAAGGGGGAATTGTTTTTGTGTGTGAATGTGTGTGCTTACATGTCAGGGGAGGGAAGCTGAGCATCTACAGTCAAACAGATTTCAGATGCACAGGAGGGCACAGGGAATGAGCAGCTAGCTCGACGGATCTAACCGTCAGTGTTCGGTACCCTGAGCCCAGGGGCTGAAGCCCAGGTGACAGCCTTGCCACTTTGAGTCTAGTTGGTGGTGACCACATTGTGAAGTCCCTAAGCTGGGCTGTGCAGGACGTAAAAAGTCTTGATTCTTTTTAAAATGTCATTCTGTGATGGGTTTTTTCTTGACGGCTCTTGATAGAATAGAGATGATAAAAACAATCTAATTCCTGCATCTTTCCACTTTTTCAAAATCTGACAAAAACTGGACATCTGTATGTCCCTCCAATATACTGATAATACTCACAGACATAATAAGTTTAAATATTCAAGAGGAAACAGATACTTGGAATAAATGTGCACTTAAACCCTGAACTAAAATAGCAACAGGATAATGATCATAATTACAATGACAATAACAAAAATAATCAGTACAATAATATTAACTTTATGAGCAGCATGGAATTTTAATTCCTGATATGGAGGGAGAAAAGAGTCTACTGGGGACGGGGTGAAAGATGAAGGAGCTTCAGCTGAAACAGACGAAAAGAAATGGGAAGAATGGGCCAAGCCATCTTTACTACTAGAAGATCAGCTCTGGGAGGGGAGTCCAGGACACTACCAGTAAGGCCAAGTCAGACTTAGAGCCAAGACCAGACACTATATAACTAGGTATGAGAAGGTCTGATGGGACAGTGCTGCCATCAGGTTTTCCAGCTGCCAAGTGGTGGCTCAGGGGTCTTCAGAAGGCTTTTGCGCCCTCACCCTCTCTGAATTGACCATTCTCTGGTGACGCAGGACAGGGATTCCCCCAAACCCAGCTAAAGCCAGTAGTAATCACAGCCCAAGAGAAGGCCATCTCTCTGCACCACTCTGCCTCTGGAGGGTCCTTGCTGATGCCACCTAGGTATGCTCAGCCTCACACAGGTTATGGGACCGTGTCGGCCCATGGCTTGTACCACACTGTTTCCAGTTTGGGGACTGAATTCTTTACAAGATAAGAATTTATGGTTGGGAAGTAGGAAGGTCAGGGGAAGGAATTTTCCAGAGTTGTTTCACAGCTAAGAGCTAAGTAATAGCTTCATTACTGAGAGAGGGTGGGTGTCATGAGGAAAGCCCTTCACAGGCAAGGGCTGGGGGCCTGTGGAAGGGGAGGCTGCGGAACGGAGGACAAGGACCGGATGCTCGCTCGAAGATCTCTTGTGCTTGGGGACTTGGCTGAGCAAACACCCTCCGAAGCCCATCGTGGGCCAGACAACGTCTCCGGCGTCTGTGTGCTTCAGAGGGCTTCACTCTGAACAAGTCTCCACCCTCTACCTGCCCACGGGGGTCAAAGCCTGAGAAGATGCCCACAACGGTTTAAAGGTTCCAAGATGGCCTAGGAAAGATTTCTTTGGAGACATAATTATCTGTGGGAGTGTTCCCCCCAGTTCTGGGTCAGACCCCTGGTCATCCTCCCAAGTATCCTTCTAGCCTTTTGCCCAACAGACCCCTCCGATGCCAGGCCCAAATGGTGCCAAGGAAAGGATCCAGCAACAGACAGCAAAATCAGGCGAGCTCCCCCAGGTGCCCGGTGGAGGGAAGGCAGTGCAGGGTGGGTCTGAGAATACCAGGCTTCTAGAGGAGGGTCTAGGGATGCAGCTAGAAAGGGAGGGCCGGACCTCCTGCCCTCCCTGTAGCTGGCCACAGGAAGGCAGGGCTGGGGGCAGGGGTGAAGGGTAGGGAGTTTCTCTGGGTCTCTACACCCAAAGTAAAACTCAACACAAGCAATCCCTGTTCACTGGATGCGCCCAAAGCACTTAACATCTCTCTCAAGATCCATAGGTTCTCACCTCCTAGCCTGTTTGCTCTCCTCACCTCCTTTTACACTGAAACAACCCAAGCAAGACAACAGGCATGAGAACTGAAAAAACAAACAAACAAACAAACAAAAACCCAAGGGAAAGATTCAACAGCACAACAGAAGAGCTGGGATGGCGTCGGACTAGCCTCAGCTAGTTCTTGGAATACCAGTGGAAATAAACCCTTCCACCTTCTGTCTGTCTGTCTGTCTGTCTGTTGTTCAGTAAGGCACTAGGAGGGAATGATGTAGAATCAAGAGGGCGAGGGCTGTGACTCACGGGGGGAGGGGTGTCCCCGCGCACACCCACGCACCCGGACCACCCCACTGGTGACATGCCTAGGTCCTGTCACTTGTTTCTGTGCAATTACGTTGAGGAATAGTCTATGGTATCACTGGAGGTGAACACAAGGTAGAAAACTGGGGTGGAGTTTGCTACATTCTGCTGCGGTGTCGGTGCCCACCGCGAGCCCTATGCTAGGTGACTAGGGGTTGGTTCAAAGAACAAACAAATCAGAAAAAAAAGGGAAAAAAACCCCAAAAAGGTTGCAACACACATTATCCATCACATCTGAGGAATAACATTGCTTAGAGATTTATCCAGAGTGCTCAGAAGGAGAAAAGTCTGCCCTCCCACTGGGGTCTGTTAGCCTGCTGTCCCATCGTTCCCGAGCCCACACTGGGCTTCACCCCGCCCCCGCCCCCCAATTGCCCCCCCCAAAGTATTAGCCTCCTCAGGTCTCAGCCTGACATTCTGGAGGGGTACTGACCCCTTTGAGTTCTGGAAAAATCCCTAATTTTCATGTTCAATTACTTAAAAAAAAATCTATTGGATTTTCCATATCAGATGTCTCTGACAGCGAAGTCTTCAATGTCACTTGCTGTCATACGAAAATAATCTTTGAAAAGTTCATAGGTAAAGTTCTTCAAAAACTGGGGGGGGGCCCTCGCTTTTGGAATCTTCTCGTGACTCTCTTCTCCTTTCCAGTTTGGTGCAGAATGGGTTTGTGAGCTGTGTTTTGTTTTATGTTTTTTTCCTTTGTTACAGATATTTTCTTTTTCTTTTTTTTTCCTTTTTCTTTTTTAAAATAAAAAGATTTCCCCCCTCCTTAATCCCTTCCTTTTCAAATGTTCTCTGCTCTAAATCCTCCCACTTTCTAGTTCAAGTTTCCTGTGTGTCCCCTCTGCCCCTCTGCCCCCCCTCCCCACCCCATTTGCATTGTTTGTGTGTGGCACCTTCAGTATAAAAAGCCAGCCCCCCCTGGGGTCCCCGGAGCTCCCTCCCCCTGCTTCCCCTCCCCTCCAGTGTCTATATGTACGGGTACTGGTTGACCTTGGCTGGGCTCAGTGGGTATCCAGTGTAGACGGTGGATGCTGGCGAGGCGCTGATGTAGGTCTGGTGGGCAAACTGGGCTGGATACTGACTCGGGTGGATGGTGGGCGAGGGCAGGACCCGGGGGCCCATGCTCACAGGGACCTGGTGGACGATGCTGGCCGGGTAGGCAGTGTGCTGCACGGTGTGGCGGGCCGAGCCTTGAGAGGCCACCAGGTGGGCGACGGTGCCGGTGGAGCCCAGGGCTGCGGGCGCCGTGTAGGTGTAGAGGTGGGGCTGGGTGGGGAGGTGGGCAGCGGCGGCGGCGGCGGCCAGGTGGGGGTGGACAGTGCCGTGGCTGGGGCTGTTGTGCGGGAAGGTGTATGGCGCCTGAGCCATCGTGGGAGTGATGTAGGCCTGCTGCCGTCGGTGGCTTCCCGTGCGCTCTGCGGCCATGTGCTGTTGAGCCTGGAAAAAGGAGATGCATGAGATGCAGGGATGAGGGGTGGCGAGGCAGCAGCCACAAAGGATGCTTCCCTTCCCCTGTCGACTGAAATGCAGCTTCACTGAGAGGTAATGCCTGGCCTCACGTTTTGGACCACGCCGGGCTGCCTCGCGGACGACCTCAGAGCAGTCAATGGGACACAGTGACAGAGCGGTGCTGTCGGAAGGCTCTCTACTCCCTTTGTGTGCTGCCAGTCCTGAGGCTCTAACTCAGAGCCTGGGCACTCACTGTCCCTGAGATTTTTGTTTTGTACAAAGCTAGCACTCCATCCGCTCCATTTCCAGCTTTTTGGGTGGTTAATTGGAGATAAGTTTCACAGATTTTCCTGCTCGAGCTGGCTTTGACTCTCAATCCTCAGATCTCTCAACCTTCTGAGTAGCTAGGATTACAGGTGGGAGCCGCTGGCGCCTGGCATCTTCTGCTTTCTCATTCATTGTGAAATCCAGTCTCTACAATCAGAAACTCAGAAATGGAGCTCTGTGTAATGCCCTCTGTGCAGGCAAACAGCGTTCTCCCAGGAGAGGCTGTGGCCACTACTCATGTACAACGGAGGGCATGCTCTCCCTTGGTCTGGAGTCTCCCTCATCAGTGAGCCAGCCCAGCAGGACCCTGCATATACCTGCAGCTGTGATGGGACATCACTGTGTGCGCCTTCCTATTTTTACTTATTTATTTATTTTTGGTTGGTTGTGGGGCTTGAACTCTGGGCCTGGGCGCTGTCCCTCAGTTCTTCAGCCCAAGGTGAGCACTCTACCACTTGAGCCACAGTGCCACTTCCAGTTTTCTGGTGGTTAATTGGAGCTAAAAGTTTCATGGAAAGTGATGCTGTGGCTCAAGTGGTAGAGCGCTAGCCTTAAGCTGAAGAGCTGAGGGACAGCACCCAAGCCCAGAGTTCAATTCCCACGACTGACCAAAAAAAAAAAAAAAGTCTCATGGACTTTCCTGGCTTTGAACCACGATCCTCAGATTTCAGCCTCCTGAGTAACTAGGATTACAGGCATGAGCCACTGGAGCCCAGCTTTATTTTTAGCCAGTCCTGGGGCTTAAACTCTGGGCCTGGGTGCTGTTCCTGTGCTTTTGTATTAAAGGCTAGCACTCTACCACTTGAGCCACAACTCTACTTCTGGTTTTCTGGTGGTTAATTGGAGGCAAGAGTCTCACAGATTTTCCTGCCCATGCTAACTTCAAACTGTGGTCTTCCGATCTCAGACTCCTGAGTAGCCTGGATTGCGGGAGTGAGCCCCTGGTACCTGGATGGGCCTTCCTATTTTTAAGCAGGGGCAGCATGCCACCAAGTGCCCTGTAACACTGGGTGAGTCACCTTGCTGTGAGCCAGGGACCCTGACTTCTCTGGGGATGACTGAGGACAGAAAGAAGCCATGTGGAACCCTGCCTGCCACTGCTGGAGGGTTACTACCAGCACTGTCTCTTCAACAGAAGATCAAGGGTCTAGCTAGTCTCTGTGTGTGTGTGTGTGTGTGTATGTGCACACACGCATGTTTTGGGATGGGTCTTACCTGGCTGAGATTGAGGGGTTGCTGCTGCTGGAAATGGGGGCCTGGCCGCTGCTGTCGGTAGGCGATGGCTCCCGACGAGCTCCCTGAAGAGTGACCACTGGTGGAGGTCACGTTGCTGGAGGACTTGGGCTTGTAGGAGGACGCGTGGTGACTGCCGTTGACTGTGTGGGGAGGAACAGGGCACAGGTCAGGGGTGGTCCTTGGCTGGCCCAGAAGCTGCTCCTTCCCGGGTCAACAGTGGCCTTCGTCAGACTGGCCAGACGCTAATCAGAGCCCCTCCGGCCAGCCTGTCAGGATTTGGCCTCGACTCCAAGAGGAGGTGAGCTGGGCTCTGGCCACTGTCTGGGGCTGCAAATGAGGGGCAGAGATGGTGCAGAGTGAAGAGAAAAGGCTCAGGGGAGGGAAGGAGAGCTGCAGGTAGGAGCCGGGCCTCACTGGTCTTCCCAGGGGTTGTCACAGGGGGCTTTGGGAGATGGGTGAACAGATGCCTGTCTGGTCTGCTCGGAGGACCAGATGCGACCGTGCCTGTGGTGGGGCCTGGTAAACAGCCAGAAGCAGCAGCAGAAGCTAACGCCATCCTGTGCAAGTCCTGGTTTGGGTCCCTGACCCTGGGCAGAATGAAAGAAATCACTGAGGAACAGCCCTGAGAGCTGAGTGTGGCCAAATGAAACCCCCCTTTCCAGCTACAGAGCCTGTGCAAGACGTAGGGACTCTGCCTGGCCAGCAGGTGGCTCCACGTTTTGGCACTCTGGCCCAGCACTTGAGGATGGCTTAAGTCTGTACTAAGAGTTTAGGGTGCTAGACAAAGCCAGAGGCTGGAGGAAAGGCAGGCTGCCCCCTACCAGTTAGGATGGCTCTAGGTTCTAGGATAAGGGGAACCAGGTACCTGTTTAGAGCCTGGCTGTCTTAACCCAGCCAAGCATTAGTTCTGCTGTATGTCTGGCCCTGGGACCATGTGCCTGGATGGTGTGAGAGGGGGCATGACAGAGCAAGTGGACGAGGAGCTGAGGCAGAGGCCAGGCCAGGGGACGGTGCTAGCGACCAGGCTGGACAGGCTGCAACTACCCAGCGGGGTGGGCGAGGCGTACAAGCGTTCAGGTGCCAAGGGGGAGGCTCTGCCAGCTCTAGGAGGTCCCTACATCTCAGCTCTTGTACTAAAACTAAAGGGCTGGACTACTGCACACAGGGTCGCAATAAACACCTAAGTAGAGGCCCATAGCCCCGCATTAAACAAAGACCTAGAGCCAACAACAGAAAAGTAAGCGATACACAAATGAGAAGAATACAGTGTTTCCTCAGGTACAAGTCTGAACAACAGCTTAGGCAAGCTTGTCCAGAAGGTTCTATGCTTTTCTGTGCTCTCTCACTCAAATGCTTACAAAGGAAAAGGAGGAGGACTGTTATATTTTGTTACATAGTTTAAAAAACATTGATAGAAGTCTTGCTTATAGTCAGCCTTTAAAAGCTAAAGAACCCAACCTGGGCAAAAAGTTTGTGAAACCCCATCTCAATCAGTAAGCTTGGCATGGTAAAATATGCCTGTCATGTAAGTAGGAAGAACACAACAGTCTACACTTACCCAGGTATAAACTCAAGACCCTATTAAAAAAAATAAAGCAAAAATGAATGGGGCCAGGGCTCAAGTGGTAGAGCACCTATGTGGCAAGTGTCAGGCTCTTCAAAACCCAGGAAAAAAAAGCAAGCTAAAAAACAAGGAGCTAATTCAGAATGTGTGAACTAGGACCTGAGGACCTCAGGTAAAACTAGAGCTCTGCTCCTCCCTGCTGGGACCTTGCCCGGGAGATGGTGTAGAGAGAGGGGCAGGGATATTAAGGAGCCACTGGTAATGAAGATCAGGCCTTTCCTGACTTGGTTGGACCACTTCTATGACAGATGCCAGGGTGATGAAATCAAGATGGAAGCTGGAGGCTGGGACCAGGCCAGAGACAGGTTTGATGAACTGCAAATAGGGAGAAGGGCACTTTCAAAGTCCTTGCCTGGGAGGAAGGAAAACGGTGTGTGTGTGTGTGTGTGTGTGTGTGTGTGTCAGGGGATGGGGTCTAGGGGTTGGAGATTGCAGCTGAAGGCAGAGGGGAACTTCTCACCAGGAGGAGGGACGTGGGTTCTACACTTCCCTGACTCCCAGCTCCTTTCCCAGCCACCCACTGCAATGAGTCTGCTAGTGTGTGCTGAGCTTCCCAGAGTCCAGAGCCAGTAGGTGTGCCTTTGGGAGTCAGGGTCCTGAAATCCAACACAGTGCCTGAGCCACAAAGCCTGGGGGACGGAGGGGTTTTTGTGGCCCCAGTGTAGGGTCAAAAATGCAAAGCTGCAAGTGCTAGCTCTTGGCTAAAGTTCCCTCAGATAGGGGTTTCTTGCAGGCACCAAGCCTTCTTGCTCTGTGGCACACTGTCCACTAGCCAGCTGTGGTGTCACCACTCTGCGCCCATTCTGCCTTCCTGGGCATTTCGGGATCGAGGTGTCTGAGGGATCTCCAGCTTAAGCCTGCAGAGTGATGGGGGTGGACAGAGCCTGGCCTTCTGCCTGCTAGTCATTGTGGGAACAGGCATAGCTAAGGGACCACGGCACTCAAGCAGTATTCATCTCTGTAATTCGTCTCTGGCGATGGGCTCATGAGTAGCGTTGCTCTCCTTAAGCGTATTTATCTTCTGTGCCGCTAAGGAAACACTATAGAGTTTTCTGATCACGCCTTGTCCAGCTAGCTCCAGAGATGCCCCTGTGGAGAGCAGCTATGCATTCATGTAGTGATTGCCACGTGAGGCAGTGTGCTTACAGCACAGGCGAACTGTGGAGTGGAGGCCCAGCTACAATCCCTGGGCCCGCTGGCCAATCTCTCTGTACCTTCACTTTTTTTTTTCCCTTGTAAAATGAAACGGGTTACCACAGGGGACTGTTTGGCATCTGGCTCTTACCAATCCATAGTCTGGCACCCAGCACCCAGTCCACACTAGCTACCATTGGTGTCATTGTTACTAAACCTCGCACTATGGCTAAAGCCAATGCACAAAGGACAGGCGGGTATGTTCCAAGCTGAGACATGAGCTCTGGAGCTCTGGACAGGGGAGTCACAGGCTCTGAGCTGAGGAAAGGCAGCTCTGGGGCACAGGTGTCAGGCCTGCTGCCTTTGGCAGGGAGGGCCCAGAAGTGTGAATTGCTAGCCTGACTGTCACACAACTGGTGAACTTTCCCAGCCTTGCATCCTTCCAGGCAGTGCTCTCTCTTTCACTTTGCTTTCATGACTGGGAGCAGTCAGGATGGGGAAACAGGGCAGGGCAGGCTGGCTGCATTTAAGGAACATGCCTTCTGAAGACAGGTGGCTGGGGACCTACCGAGTCAGAAGAGCCCTGACACACAGGTCAGTGCACATGCCCCACCTGCGTTCTCCTTGGATCAGGATGAGGAGGCTGAGGGAGAAAAGGCTGTCCCAGGCTGGCTGTATGTTTGGGGACAGCGTTCTAGGATCCTGACCCAAACCTGCTCACTGGCCTGGGACAGTGGCTGGAAAAGCCTCTGGCGACCCCATCCTGAACCCCTCTCTGCATCCTGGCAGCAGCCCTGTGGCCTTCACCTCCTATGCCTATCCCCTGGGGCAACCATGGACACCTTAAGGGACAGACGGGACATGCTTCTCACAGCTACACAAATCTTGCAAGGCTGTGTCACTTTCCGGGTGAACAGTATGGTCACAAAGGTGCTGTCTGCCCTGCCTGTGGCTGGTGACAGCGTGGCAGAAAAGTACGACACACAAGGTTCCTCTGGTTGTCCCCAAATTCTCCCAGCATGAACTTGCGCGGGAGAAGCACTGCAGAGATGCTGCTGAAAAAGGCCCCGGCGAACGGCTGGGTTGAAACGGAAGGTTGAGAAAGGCCCCGGGCTGTTTGCTAGGGCCTGGTTTTCAGGACAAGCTTATGGATCCATAGTTCTTTTATTTCTATTTAATTTTAATTTTTTTTTTTTTGGTGCCAGTACTAGAGCTTGAACTTAGGGTCTAGAGCTCTCATTTAGCTTTTTCTGTTGAAGGCTGGTGCTCTACCACTTGAGACAGCTTCACTTCTGGCTTTTTGGTGGTTACTTGGAGAAAAGAATATCATGGATTTTCTGCCCAGGCTGGCTTTGAACCACGATCCTCAGATCTCAACCTTTTAAGCAGCTAAGTATACAGAGGTGAGCCTCCTGTGTGGTTCTGATTTCTTGTGTACAAGGAAGGGCTCTGAGGGGGCTCAGAGGAGCCTGGGTGACCCTGAGGTAGCAACACTCTGGGAAGGGGCTTCTTCCACTGGACGCCATCAGAGCTCCCTGGATAGCGTCCCGGGTACCAGCCAGGGAAGGCTAAACAGGATGTCTCTGCAGACAGAGGACAAGGAACAGTGTGGCTTTCATTTCCTGTTCATTATCCTTGATGAAAGCAGAGTCACCATAAAGGCAAAAGCATGCTGATTATAGAAGTACCAAAGGACAAAATGTGCTTGGACACTGATTTTACACACAGAACCCTGCCCGGACAAAGTGCTGTGTAGAATCATCTGTGAAAATCAGAACTTTTCTATCTGACTAGTGCTCGAGACCTAGCAGCAGCCATGAAGGAAAGCAGTGGCAGAAATGGAAATAAGACTGCTGGCCTGCTATGCAGGGCCCTCCCCACCCCCAGCTTACCCGGCCCGAGGCTGTCACATTCCACCAGCACCTCGCTGGCCTGGGTCTTCAGGGGGGGCACGATAATGGTGCGGGGGTTGCCGGTGCAGTGGCTCTCTGGGGCACCCTTGGTGTCGAAGGAGCTGGTGCCGTTCGGTCCAGTGCGCTGCTGCACCGCATAAGGGCTGGTGTTGCTGGAAGAGTCGGAGTAGGGAGAGTCGTGGACTGTGACGCAGCTGATGACGTTTTTTCTTTGCTTGGAGACAGTGCTGGGAAGGGAAAGGGAGATGCGAGGATCAAGAAGGTGACACACTATGCCAGCATTGTGTGTGTGTGTGTGTGTGTGAACTCAGGGCCTGGTGGATAAGCCTGAGCTTTTTTGCTCAAGGTTAGCACTATACCACTTGAGCTGCAGATCCACTTCTGTTTTTTTGGTGGCAAACTGGAGATAAGAGTCTCATGGACTTTCCTGCCTGGGCTGCGAGCCTCAGGTCTCAGCCTCCCGACTAGGCAGGATTACAGGTGTGAGCCACCAAAGCCAGGCTTATGCCAGCATTTTGGAGACTCTATTGTGTGGTGTGGAGGGCACCCATGTGAAAACAGGAGGAAGGAAGGGCTGGGGCTGGGCCTGTGGAAAGTGGGGTGACGGAGACTTGGTGTGTGGGTGACTCAGCAGTCTGAAGGAGAGACAAGCTGCAAGGAGCATACTACCGAAGGACCTGGAGGAGGACGGCCACACTGTTGGAAAGGAAGTAGTTCTAAATGCAGGTTTAGGCTCTGCTGCGACTGGATGGAACAGGACAAGGTCCCAGGAGGCTGATCTGAACAGTGCGTGAGCCCGGGAGGGCCAGGAGAGGGAGACACAGGCTGGACACCACACCCTCTGCTAGCTTGCTCTGATGGGCTACTTTGTGTGCAGGCGGCTGAGGGCCTCTGGGAGTCCTTTGCTCAGGGGAGGCCTGGTGCTCCTGCATGCTGCGACCACCCGATAGTCACTCTGCACCCCTGGCCTTCGTTTTCAACCTGCAACTTCATCCAAGGCAGCTAGACCTGGCTTGGGCTGGTTCTCAGCTAGCAACTTCTTTTCAGAGATGTTTCTATCCCTGTGGTTACTTGGAACCAATCTGGACTGCTTTCTGGGTTAGTGAGAGACTGCTAGAATGATGGATGTGCAATTTATTACTTACTGTGCAATGTTTTAAAAATGGCTGTTCTATTTTTGTGTATCAATGATTTATTTTTAAGAAATAACAATTGTCTACCAAGATGGCCCTTTTCCAGCTAGCTTGATGAGGAAAGAAACTGGTATGGACTTCCTTATCAGCCTGATGGACTTGCAATGATCTTTACCCTAGGGTCCTGTCCCAGGTCACAGAGCCAGATCAGGTTCTTGCTAAGATGAGACACCATAGAAGTGGGCACACTCAAGAATCCTGGGGCAGCCAGTCAGAAGGTAAGTGGAAGGTCAGAGCAGGCTGTAGACCTACAAGAGGTTTGAGGGGTGGTGGGGTGAAGGCCCACAGGAGGATTTGCCCAGTTCCTGGCCTAGTATACTAGTAGCTGGCCTTGGCATGTTCTCTAGTGGCTGGGTTCAGGGTAACATTGGACTGGTTCTGTGGATGTAAACCTGGGCCCGCAGCTCGATGTCTACCTTCGCATGTGCTGGTGACAGAGCTCTGGGGTAGCTGCTCAACCTCTCCTGTGAACAATAAGAACCTGTATCACAGGTCTGTTCTGAGAACGAGATAAGAATATACAAGTAAAGTGCTTTGTACAGTGCTTGATAGTGTGTAAGTATCCTACAAAAGATAGCTATTATTATTATGAAGGTTGACATCCCTAATTAAAAAATTACAAAATGCTCCAAAATGTGAAACTTTCTGAGTACAAGGAAATGTCTACACCTGACCTCTTAGGGTGGGTAGCAGTCAGAATGTAGGCATAAGCTGGTACTCATGATTTATACCAGCAATCCTAGCTACTCTGGAGGTTGAGATCTATGGATCATAGTTTAAAGCCAGTCCAGCCAGAAAAGTCTGTGATACTCTAATCTTCAATAAATCAAAGCTATAAGTGGAGGTATGCTCAAGTGATACAGTATCAGCCTTGAGGGAAAAAAAGCCAAGCAAGAGTGTGAGGCCCTGGTTTCTAGACTTAGTACTAGCAAAAAAAAAAAAAAGTAAGCATACTAAAACTATGGCATAAAATTCCTTCAGGCACTGATTATAAGATGGACATGACACTTTAATAAATTTCATGTTCAGACTCAACTCTCATCCCTAAGATAGCTCATTATGTATATGCTAATATGCTAAAAATCTAAAAAACCATAAGCTCTCAACCCCCTTATCCCCTGAAATTCAAAATACTTCTAATCTCAAGTCTGTATTAAGGATGTTCAATTTGTATTAAAATCAGTTATGCCACCTTAAAATACAAGAGGCTTGCAAATAAAACTTATCTAGGCAGAGAATGCTAAGGAGGTAAGGATTTGCTAGTAAAGCAACCTCTTCCATTCCCTACTTTCTTCCTCTTCTTTTTTTTATTTTTGTCGAGCATGAGGCTTAAACTCTGGGCTGCCTGGGCGCTGTCCCTGAGCTCTTCAGCTCAAGGCGAGTGCTCTGCTACTTGAGCCACAGTGCCACTTCTGTTTTTTCTGGTGGTTTATTGGACATAATAGTCTCATGGAGTTTCCTGCCTGGGCTGGCTTTGAACCATGGTCCTCAGATCTCAGCCTCCTGAGTAGCTAGGATTACAGGCATGAGCTACTGGCGCCCAGCCCCCACTTGCTCCTTTTTAACCAGTCTGCATACTCCCGAAGATTGATAGGAAAGAAAATTGCATGTCTTCAGTTAGGAATCATGGAGATCTGTGATCAGTGCTACAGGGAATACCTTTGTAAGGAAAGCTGATACCTGTCTCTGCCCTGGAGAAGATGAAAATCTCAGTGGGAGACTGTGTAACAACATGACAAGTTAAACAGTAAAAGCTTTAAAAGAACCAGTTAAAGAGAATAATGGGTGTCACCAAGCCTTCCAAGTTAACTGTCAAATGAGTCATACAGATGATAATTGTTAAGAACGCAAAAGAAGGTAAAGAATGAATTGGCTGCATATATTTACAGCTCTTCACATTAACTTGGATAAAATAGATAGATTTCAATTAACAAAGACCCTACAGCCCTCACTTGTCACAGTATTAACCCAGAAAGTCCATATGGTAGCTCCACAGAAAGCTAAAAATAGCTAGAAGCCTGCAGTTCATGTTTGTAATCCTAACTACTAGGCAGGCTGAGATCTGAGCATCATGGTCTGAAGCCAGTCTGTACAGATAACTCTGTGAAATTCTTATCTCCAGTTAAACAGCAAAAAGTAGAGGTGTGGTTCAAGTGGTAGAGTGCCAGCCTTGAATAAAAAAGCCAAGCAAGAGTGTGCGGCTCTGATGTCAAACCCCAGTAACTGGCGCATAGCGTGCAACATACACACACACACACACACACACACACACTCCACAGGCTTATCCAGAAAAAATGAGCAAATGAGATTCAGAGTCATAGGCAATTGAGCGGCACAGTGCAGCAGGTGCAGTGAAGACCCTGGGGTGGAGGCCACCGGGATCTGGCGTAAGAGTTAGAAAGTGGAGCTCCAGGACAAGGTCCCTGAACCTAGCAATCAGGGAGATGCAGTTCCACAACAGAAAGACATGAGGGCACGCTGAGGACTGTGGAGGAGGCGAGAACACAGAAGGAGAGGGAAGGAAGGAGAGCTGCCTTACAAAAGGAGCACAACCTGACACGAGGGAATAGGCTAGTGTGTGACGTGCTGTCACCGACCCGAACCCCTCGCACCTGCACAGTTACAGAATACTCCAGAACCCCAGGAAGGGCTGGGGGCCATGACCCATGACTCTATGCCCTTCTCTGTTCCCAAAGGGAGAGTCACTGTCCTGCTCTTCCCTCAGGGCTGAAGCTGTGTGAGAGAAACCTCTACACACCATAGCTCTTGTGGCCACGTCAGGAAATGAGGACATGTTCCGGGGCGGGTGCGTGATCTGGGGGGTGGAGGACCCTATGTGAACACAGGAGCTGGCTCCTGCATGTGTCGCAGCACCTGGTGTTCTCGTCCTGGCCCTGCTGTCCCTTCAGTGGTGTGGCCATGGGTAACCTGTAGCATCCATCCAGTTCCAACCCAACTGGAGCTAGATCAGTTAGGTAAGGTGAGAGAGGTTACCGGAGGGATTGAAGAATCCATTGGGAGGGTTCCATAAAGATTTAGTATAAAAGGTGCTTGAGAGAGGATTTGGATGTGGTAGCTCATGCCTGTAATCCTAGCTACTTAGGAGGCTGAGATCTGAGGATCAGTGGCTCAAAGCCAGCCTGGGCAGGAAAATCTGAAACTCTAATGTCAACCACCAAAAAGCCAGAAATGGAGATGTGGCTCAAAGAGGTAGAACAACTAGCCTTGAGCACAAAAGCTGAGGGACAGCAATCAGGTCCTGAGTTCAAGCCCCAGGACTGGTGCATATACACATAGACACACAGACACAGACACACAGACACAGACACACAGACACACAGACACACACACACACACACACACACACACAGATGGGATTTGATTTGCTACTCATTTGGGGAGCATGTACCTTACAGAAAAATCTGGCCTGTTTCTGCTGATCACAATTTCCTTAAGTAATTTCAAAGATGAACAAGTTAAAGTAAAACACACTCACAACATTAACTGTCAAATAATTCTTTCCTCCAAGCCTGGAAATTCGGGAGAAGCTTCAGCTTAATACGGGCAAATATTTCTAACAAGTGGCTCATTGTAAAGGCACAACAGGCCATTTTGTGAATCAATGAGCACACTGTCATTGAAGGGGCTGACAGTCTTTGAGAGCCAGCAGCTGGCCGGGATGACCTGTGTGAATGCTGCCAGAGGATCAGACACTCGCGGGGGAAACAGGTAGTGAATCTCACCAAAGGCGCTGGGGATGCCTGTCAGGTACGTGGCTGTTATCTTGTCATTGTCTAAGGAGTTGAGGGGTAAACCCTCCCATAAACTCCACAGATCTGAAGCTTTGTTTGTAGCTCTGAAGCCGCCCTGGCCCAATGAACAAATGTGCAATACACCGAAATGTTGATTTGCCTCCCTTTTTTGATTTAAAAGAGACAGGTTTGGGAAAGGTGCATTAGCCTACCCTCCTGCCCCCTCCCTTTCTGCCTTTTATTTTTGAGACAAGGTCTTGTAGTATGAGTTCTCTCTAGACT